GGGGGGGGGGGACGGGGGGGGAAAAAAAAAAAAAAAGACCACATTTGCTCAACCACTTTTGTTGATAAACTGCACACTGTGGTGTGTTTCACATGCTTTTTTAACCCACATAATTCCTGTTTCATAAAAAGAAGTATGTTGCTTTCATAATTTCCCATTTTCATGGAATTATAAAAAGAATTTAAGTTTATGAAAAATAGTAACAATGTTTTCCAGTTCTGGTCTACTTATGTTAATACACCATTCCGGTTCTACGCCACAAAAAGATCTAGATTTTTTTTTCTCCTCAACTGAAAGATCAGATAGACCTTATTGAAATAAATCATTTGTTAAAAGCATTTAACTTTAGCAAACTTTCTAAGCTAGGAAAACAAAAGTTACCCCCTATACAGGGCTTTTATACTCCTCTTTCCTTCAACAAATTTGAAAGAAAAAAGTAGACAATATCAATTAATGGACAGACATCCTTTTACCACATTTTTTACAGAATCATTCCTAGAAGTTTTAATTGCAAATTAGTTGCTTCAGTAGTTTAAAAAGTAGATACAAAGACTATATAAATATTCAAGCTTTTCTAGTAATAGGATCACTTATTCCCACTGACACAGCTAAAAATTCTGTCTGCAAGACTAGAGTCCAAGTTTGTACTTCATTGTTTCTTCGTGCTTAGATCTTTCAAGATGAATATATGTATACATACAGGTAAAAAGAAAAAGGAACATTTATATAATTGAAATTATCCAACTAAGTAATATGCCAAGTAAATAATTCTCTATGCCAGTATAAGTATTGCTTTACAGCTACACAACTTCAGGAATTTTTTCTTCGTGTCTCATGTTTGACATTTTTTTTCTATTAATTCAGAGTCAAATTCATATTTTGATGTAAATTGAAAATAAATTTGTCTAAATTAATTAGTATACTAAGCAGTGTCACAAACCCAGTATTTTAAAGAGCAAATGCACAGACTCATCTTTTATTACCATATGTTAATCTACATGTACATGTTACATCTACAAAAATGATGATGACAAATGCCACAAATATGCTTGGTGTCATATTTATCATGAAATATTCTCCTGATAAGAACTCCAACAGATGAGTGAACCTCCCTACTGTGGTTTAAGCTCTTACCCCAACTGTCTAACAAATACTTCTCCAAAATTTAATGTGCTTGCAACAGAATCACCACAACAGAACACGTGCCTGAACACTCCTGTCCATTGGTCAAGGCGGATTCAGGCCACGATGCCAGAGTGAAACGCAGTGGCTGAGACAAAGCACATGTTCATTCTTGCCAAATCTGCTACAGGAGCAAGTCAGACAGCTGGATAAAGGAATACCATAACACTGCTATTTTCTCTGTGTTACTTTAGTCCTCTCCTCCTCTGCTTTCTTTTCTATCACCTCCCCACTTTGAAGCTATGTTTTTCCACAACTTTTCTTTCCTTGCTGTAACTCAGCTCTCACTTCTTCCAGCATGAGTCTTCTGTACGCTTTCCTGTGGAATCTGTTAACCTGATCATCAATTAAAGTTTAAGTATTATAATTTGTGCTTCAGAGGA